CCGCCATGTGAAGCCAATCCAGCTCGCCGATTGTCAGCGCCACTCTTTCGACAATTTGGCATGGTGGCCCACTGACGGATACCTGCAGTCAAATTCCTCCAGGAACGGGTGGATGGGAGCAAGGGCGAGGTGGTCAAGGTGGCTATTCCCTCCCCGACCATGGTTAGTGCAGCAGCAGCAGCAGCATTGAGACAGAGTGCTGGTTCAATCATGGTGTCTAGGTTCACTTCCGCGGTGGTCGCTCCTCCATTGACCTCGCTGCATACCCCGATTTGGACGAATTCTTTGAAGATCTCGCAGAGGTCTACAGGCAGGAGATCAAGATCCTTGCGGAGGCGGGGTGCAAGTATCTCCAAGTACAGTGCCCCAATGCTCCTAGACCATTCTCATCGGTCTTACACACCCATTATAGCTTGACGATACCAATTTGGCTTATCTATGGTGGGAGGAGCTGCAGTCGTTATCCCGCCCGATGCTCATCGTCGCGCCTCTTAGTGATCTCAATATGCGGGAGGCGGCAGCTGGCCGCGGAGAGGACCTGAACACCCTTCCGAGGCAATACGCCCAGCTGATCAATGCAGCGTTACGGGACCGACCTGCTGGGATGACCGTCGGTAATAAATCGAGCCCGAGCTGGTCGAATATCCTGTCGAGCTCATTCTTCTTAAGGAATCCATCTCTGTCGAGGCAATTTCCGGAGTAGGCACTTTGCGGAAGGTGCATGGCGGCTAGTATTCATCTTCGTTCTGCAGGACTTACATCTGCTTTAAGGTGGCTACGAGCCGATTGCGCAAGTCTTGTTCGAAATGCTCGATGTCGATGTCTACTTCTTGGAATGCAAGTCGTTCTCTCAGACCAACTTGCACAGATCCTGATTATCTCACAGTCGACAACGAACGATCTGGTTCCTTTGAACGTCAGGACTGGCCCGGCGCATTTGTCGTTATCTGTTCTGATTCCATTCTTCGTAGCTCTTCGCTTCTTACCCAAGGGAGAGAAGATTGTTGTTCTGGGTCTCATCAGCTCCAAGATCCCCCAACTGGAGGACAAGGAAGCTATCAAAGCTCGCATCGCCGAGGCCAGCAAATTCGCGCCCTTGAATCAACTGGCCCTTTCGCCGCAGTGTGGATTCTCGAGCACAGTTCACGGCAACGAGGTTTGTGGTTCGCAATGTTGCGACACGGAATTCACGGTCCTGCTTAGATCACAATCGAGGACCAGTGGGCCAAGATGAAGCTTGTGCATGAGATCGCGCAGGACATCTGGGGTAGCGACATGTGATTACTTGTACTTATTTATGGTGTGCTGCTACTCGTACTTGGCCACCTTGCTCTCGTTACCCACATCCTGCAAGTCTTGAGGACGTTCTCGTTTTACAGGCCGCCGCCTATTGCTGATGGGTTGCTGCTGATACGAGCCCTGTACTTGATGTGCAAATCCATTGTTGGTCCAGCCCATGCCGGGAAAATTGGATGTCATCCCGGCCATTAGACTATGCAACTGTTGGGGTGTAAGGCCTGTCATAGCAATCGCAGTCGCCATTTCTTGCGCTTGCGCCAACTGGATCTGAAGCTGTTGGCACTGCAGTTCCGTGTTTTGGCGGACCGCATTTGGCAGCGCTGGGTTCTGCAGCATGGCGGAGATCTGTGTAATCTGAGCCTGCAGTTGGGGGATGCTGTCCGTTATCATTTTTGCCATGTCCATATTCTCTTCGGCATAGACCTCTTCTTCCTTCGGCGCATCCTTAAATACCAGTTACAACAAGGCACCACATGAAGACAGTGCTCTCACCGAGGGACCGGCTTCCTCCGTTAGTCCTTCCGTTTTGCTCTTCTCGATGGCGTTCTCGATGTAATCAGTGACTTTTATTCGCATCGGCTTGTCCGCGATAAGTTGGTCCAGAGATGGAATTTTCTTTGCACAATTGGGGCATACGAAATCACGTTCAAGGAGATGCGTCTGGATGCACTCTTCGCAGTAGTTTGTTCCGCAACAAGGAGTCTTGACTGCATCTCGAAACAACTTGTTGTCTATGGGGCACGCCAGAGACGCATCTGTTGGTTGCTTTTCCCGCACATCCGCGACGGTAAGTGTTTTGGCGCGGGAGACCTGCTTTTGCCAGGATGCACTGATTCGTGACTGAGCAATCAAGCCGAGGGGAATCAGGCATAGCTAGTACGCACGAGTCTGGCTGAGCAACTACATATCCACCATCCGGAGTGACCATGACACCCTGTCCCAGCTCTGCTACGTTGGGATTCTCGACGGCCTTGAGCATGCTGCGCGGGATACCGGTCGTTCGCTTGATGCGGGGCCGATTGTCGAACTCGCGGTCACTATTGGTCGGACAGTCTTGGATCCAGTGTCCTTGTCGAGCGACTTGCTGAGATGATACATGTCGAAAAAAGAAGTGTGCTCACCTTTCTTGCCACAACGATAACAAACGTAACTCGGCGGTAAAGGTCGGTCGTTTGGTGGAGGTGCCTGATGTGGTGAAAATGGTTTTCCACCCCGAGAGAAACCGCTGCCCCGAGTGCTGCTCCCATTATATATCCGGGGTGCTCTGAGAAGCATTCATTTAGTGCGTTGAATATGGGCAGAGAGGGCAACGGACTGTGACATCTTCTCCTGTGCTTCTTCCCAGGCGCTCTGCTGTGTAGCAAACATGGCTGAGATAGCGGACGCTTCGTCGTCTTCGCCATCGACCGGTGCCTACGACAGTGTTCACACGTGAGAGAAAGAACGTATAGATGCAACGCACTGCCACAGGCTTAGGAGCTGGGGCCGGGACTGGCTCCTCCTTTCCGTCGAACCGTCTCGACATGGCGCCTTTATGCCAGGAATTCGAGGGACCCGCTCCACCACGTTGAACAGTTTCGGAAGTTGAGACAGAATTAGTAGCGCCTGCGATGTATATTGAGGCTTTGCCCTTGCCGGGACGCGCGGCAGGCCGTCGCTTCACAATGACTGAAGAGGACCGCGGTATGATTTCCGAATCGTCCGCATACTCTGAGGAAACCGAATGTCAGCAGATGTAACATGTCGACGCCTGAGCGCACCTTTGTTCGTACTGCGGTCGTAGATGAACAGGTCGAAATCATTCGCCTTACCCATGTTGTTGGCTAGGATGATATCGCGTTTAAGGTCAAAGACAGATATTCCAGTACCATCGAAGGTCACTCGAGACTCGTCTTTTCTGGAATTGAATTTGTAAAACACGGAAGAAGCCATAATATTGATCAGAGTTTAGTATACAAGAACAAAACCCAGTGAAGCAGGAGGAATGTGGGTGTGGTGAGCCAGCAATCAAGGTGGTGGATGGAAGAATGGATGGAAGACAAGGCTGACGGCCGGATCCGATCTGATCCTAGGCTGACAAATTTACGGATAACGTGAAAGTCAATCTACTTTACACCCGTCACCTGGGTATCCAGCCATTCCCACAATTCATGAGAAGCTTCTAGATCTTGGGTGCCAGGGTGTGGTTTTCCAATCCGAGCCCAAGGAATCAGATACTCGAAAGAAGGATCAGTATCTCACTCGGTTGGCATGATGTAAGAGAGGACCCATCTACAAACCTTGCCATTGAAACCTTTCCCAGCTGCGCTGGTCGCAGCATAAAGTTGGGTCAGTGCACCGTGCGAAACATCGTGCAGCACAGTTCTCTCCATGAGAGACTAGGTAAATCTGATGACTTGGGCTGCGATCGAGACTGCCGGGTACGCACGATCACCGCACCGAGGGCACCCTTCATATGCCTGTGGAGGTCGGTCTTGATGATTCCGGGGTGCAGAGAAGTGACAACAAGGCCCTGGTCACCGTATCGTCGAGCCAGCTCGGCAGAGTACATGATGAGAGACTAGAACAATGTAAGCCAAGGTCCCAACGAGATGAAAGCACATGCGAATTTGCTCAGCGCATAGAGCGGCTGAGTGCCGGCTTTTTGCCTCTTATTGTCATCCAGAACGTCTTTGAAACTAAGCTTGTTTGTGACATGCATCCCGCTCGACGTATTCACCACCCGAGCTTTATTATCAAAGCTGGATTTCGCGCCAGCCAATAGTGCCGGTAAAAGCAGTTTGGTGAGAAAATATGGCCCTACCTCTGGGTGAGAATCGAAATTATAAGCGGCATGCCATGTACCTAGCACATTGGTCCCGAACTATCGAAAATGAATCGGAATCCTCGCGTCAGGCATCAGGAAGCTCACCTGTAGGTCGTATCCATCCTTTGTGCGCTCGTCAATGGGAGGCATCATAACACCTGGGACAACATTCAGTGCGGTGAAATTCTACTTGAGCAGAATAATGACCGGCATTGTTGAAGAGAATATGAAGATCGGTTTCTTTCCTGTCACATGCATGAGGGGAGTCAAAGAGCAGGCTTAATCGATTCCGTTACGACAAAAAATCGGCTGCAGTTTCCTTGATGGTCTCAAGGTCGCCCAGATCGAGTTTGAGAAACACAGCCGCTTTGCCAGTCTCTTCCTTCAACTCCTTGATTGCAGTATCTGCTTTCTCTTGGCTCCGCGCTGCCATGTAGACCTTGGCATTGTGTGCCAATAAGACCTCGAGAGCAGGTAAGAGACGTGATTCCTTTCGAGATACGGACTGGGAAAGTCACCCGGACGGTTTCCTTCCCAATTCCTTCAGGGAACATGTGAGAAGTGTAGAGGGCATGAAATAGACCTGCGACTCTACCTGAATTTCCTCCTGTCACGATACAGACTTTACCCGACAGGTCTGGAACATCCTTCTCGGTGAACTTGGTCCTTGGAGGGAAGCTTTGAGCTAGAATATCGAGAGAGGACATTTGGTTAGAGGGCAGGCGTGGCAGTCAAGATTGTCGCATTCACATGCACTTACTACGTCGGCATCATCCCAAGCCAAGTTCGTGTCAGTTTCATGATTCAGCTCAATGACAGTCAGTGACACAAACGCGTCTCGTCACGCTTGACATGCGCCGTGACCACGAATGACACCTCTCCTTGAGCCTCAATGTGACCCTGCGTCCTAACGGTTCAACTTTCACTTCGATTCGGCTTCGAGGCTCGAGGCGAAGCTCGCGTATTCTTGTGAGACATTTTGGGTAATGGCCACCCGGCGAACGTCCCAGTCGCTGTGCTTGATCGCCATCATGTCGGAGCCTCATGGGGAGATGTCCGAGTCGTAAATAACACCACATCCTCGATCGTGCGACGACCTCCAAGACCATGGGGTCAGCCATCTCTCGTCTCAGACTAGTTTGGCAAACGCTGCGCTCGATTTCGGCCTCGTACGATGCACTTGAACGACGTATTGCAACATCTCCTGGCATCCCATCACCAAATCCATCGATATCGTACTGGGAAGTCCCGCCAGCCCCTATAGCAAAGCATGGATCCTCTTCAGCTCTTCCGGAATATGCGGATATTGTGGTCATTGGGAGTGGCATAACAGGCACCGCTTTTTCGCGGACCACCTTGAATATTCTGGAAAAGGACATGCAACCGACGATCGTGATGCTGGAGGCAAGAGACGCATGCTCTGGGGCAACTGGAAGGTGAACCACTCAATCTTCGATCTTCTAATCGATTCTACGATGCGTGCAAGGAATGGAGGGCATGTGACACCGGTCCTGTTCCACGATTACCCAGCCTTGAAATCCGCCCACGGAGCGGCAAATGCTCAGGCTATATTACGATTCAGGCTAGCCCACCTCCCTGAGCTGCTTGCTGTGGCCCAAGAAACCGGTCTCGCGGATTGCCAGTGCCGGGAGGTCGAGACGTTCGATGTGTTCTTCGAGCAGGAGACCTTCGACGTCGCCAAGGAGAATCTTGAGCATTATTTGCGAGACATGCCAGACCAGCGGTCAAATTGGCGCCTAGTAAATGCCGAGGACTGTGTGAAGGTAACCATCATGCTACATCTCCTGAGTCGAGCTCACACAGCGCTAGGATCTACAACTATCCCGTCAGGCAGTTGGAGCCATTGGAACGGTTGGAGGAGCCATTCATCCCTATCGTTTTGTGACGGGAATTCTTTCCAGCCTACTGGAGTCCTTCCCGGACCAGTGCGTCTCGACGTTCCATGCTCTAGACCTCCAGCTGACGAGATGATACTGAGGTTTCGGCTGCTCACTCACACACCGTGCTTGTCAATATCGTCTGACGAGGATTTCTACACAATCACGACGAACAAAGGTCAGATTCGAGCTCGTCATGTTGTTCACGCGACAAACGGATGGGTCTCGCATCTGCTGGCACCTATGCGAGGGAAAATTGTCCCTGTCCGAGGCCACATGAGTTCCCAACGACCAGGACTAGGCCTGGGCCACAATTCAGTGCCCGATGGCGATTCGGAGTCAATGGCCACCCTAGCGGAAGCTCGAAACCCGTGGGCTGGCCAACGCTCATTCGTGATGTACGCTGGCGGAGGTTACGACTACCTCACACAGCAACCGGTCGAATTAATTACCGCATCGTCGGAATATCCGGCACCAGCTGGGGAGATGATGTTTGGAGGCGGGGCGAGCCACGGCGAGATTCTGGACCAGGCTCTGATGAATGAAGTTGGTGTGAGTGACGACACAGACTGGAATACGGGGAATGCCGCTCATCTCAGCGGAGCCTTGAGCGTCTACTTCGATGGATGGGGTGCTGAGGGACGAGGCACGGACGACAAGGACACACAGTTTGGCGCGGGAAGAGTCAAGAAACTCTGGTCCGGCATTCTGGGGATATCAGCTGATGGCATTCCATGGGTGGGTCGGATTTCTCCAAGAATAAGTGCTCGGTCAGAGCCAAAGTCAAGTGGTTCTTCGAGACTGGCGACTCCCGGAGAGTGGATTGCTGCCGGTTACACCGGGGAAGGGATGGTGCATGCATATCTTTCTGCCAAAGCTCTCGCCCATATGGTCCTAGCGACCGATGAAGCCTCGCTGCCTGCGGCATTTCTTGTCAGCGAGAAGCGATGGAGGAATGCTCGCATGGAGAACTTGGTGAATTGAAAGGAGATGACGTCAGCGGAATGATCCGCGATAGTTTTGTTAGCCGCAGTTCCTTGTCTTCAACTCTTTACTCGTTTGCTATCCGACGCATTTACATATACCAAGCATGGCTCCCGTCGAGATGGAATACTACGATCTAGTCTGTCACCCGTGCCCAAGTCAAGCGCACACAAGGCTGATACGCTATTCAAGCTGGATGTGCCAGTAGATGCGGATGACAACACTCTCAAGAAGGCGTACAGGCGGCAAGCTATGAAGGCGAGTTCTTCGGATGAAAAGAGGTGATTTCATCTCAACGTGCACTAGTACCATCCCGACAAGAATAAGTCTGAGGGTGCGGAAGAGATGGTGCGTTATTGTGGGCCATCTCACATTCCTTGTTCAATTGATCAATCTCCGCACAGTTCAAGGAAATAAGGCCAGTTCAGAGAAGTTTTAAACAGCATGATTTGGAATGTTGACACTCTCAAAGTAAAGCGTATCAAGTCTTATCCGACCCGGTGAGCCCTGCTGTTTCCGTGGTCGTTGATGTTGCAACTCATTCGAGATCAAAGAACTTGCGTACTGTGTACGATAAGAATGGGAAGTCGATGGTGGACAAGGAAGGCGGGGTTAACATGGAAGACGCGGCTGGATTCTTTGCCAATGTTTTCGGAGGGGAACGATTCGCCGACTACGTGCGTACTAAATCCATCAATCCATTTCTAGACCGAGGTGGCCCACCTTTCCCAGATTGGCGAAATCTCCATTATGAAAGACATGACTGCGACCGCGACGACTATGATGACTGAGGAGGAAAAGGTCGAGATGGAGAAGGCTATGAACGAGGGGAGCTCTACTCCCATCGGCGAAGCCGCTCGATCCACGTTGTCCTCGGGTTCTGCGACACCAGTCCGATCTACACCGACCACTCCCTCAGCATCCAACGAAACATCGCCGTCCAGCCTTACCGTGCATTCTGAGGCAGAGTCGCCGCTACCGCCGTCGAAGGAATCCAAAGACAAGAAGCGTTCCAAGATTACCCCGGAACAGAAACAGAAGCTGCGTGATCAGGAGACAGAGCGGCAGCGGGTGATGGAGGAACGTGTAACCTCATTGACGACGAAGATGATCGAGAGGCTACGACCCTTCGTGGAGGCTAAGCATCCAGGTGAAAAAGACGACCCCGAAACGAAGGCCTTCGAGGAAAAGATGAGGCGAGAGGCCGAGGATCTGAAGTTGGAGAGTTTTGGCGTCGAAGTGCGTGAGAGAGCCCGATCGCTTGCTTTTGTGGCTGATGTCCTTCTAGTTGCTTCACGCTATCGGTGGCGTCTACATGATGAAAGCAACGTCATTCATGAAGTCGAAGAAGTTCCTCGGCATGTGGGTGTCGTCTGAGCGTTTGATATCAGCCCAATGACACTCTTCAGCCCCGGCTTTTTCTCGCGTCTAAAGGAGAAGAGCGACCTTGTGAAGGATGTGTTCGGAGTCATTGGAAGCGCTCTCAGTGTTCGAGATCTCATGCTGGTGTGTTCCGAACTGTCGCCTCCCACTCGCGATCGACTAAGCCACTTTAGGAAATGGAGAGGCAGCAAAGCAAAGGAGAACTCGGCGAGGAGGAACTTCGGGCTTTGGAAATGGACGTCACGGGGAAGGTGGGGTTAGCAGTTTTATGCTGCGGCAAAATGCTAAAAAAATAGCTACACAGATCATGCTTGCCTCATGGCGTGGTGCTCGATTGGAGGTTGTGCAGGTTTTGCGGGCTGTGAGGCTCCGAGGATGATCTGATTGGGCAGTACTGATTTCCATCCAGGTTGTCGATAACGTGCTCAAAGATCCAGGAGTATCGGATCTGGTGCTGCTGAACCGCGCCAAGGTCTGTCCTCGGGGGTGTACGATTCTCCTTCTTTCTGACGAGGCTCCTTATGCAGGGTCTTCTCATCACCGGTGCCATCTTCAAGTCCACGGCTCCCGACGAAACCGATGCAGAACGTCGGGAACTTGAGAGGTGCGTCGTGGCACGTCCGAATTTCTCATCTCTGAAATCTAGCCCAGAATGGTTGCAGAAGCGGCTGCACCAAAGGGGAAGTCGTCAGCCAAAACTGCACACGCAAAACGGGAGCAAATGCTCCGGCAACATGCAGCAGAAGCCGAGAAGGTCAAGACTGGGCAGAATGATATTTAATGGATTTTCCTTAGGGATGTTTGTGTGAACTAGACTATCTTAATTGCTCATGTCACGCGGAAAACGATGCTTTGACCTGTTGCGACATGAATCGAGCCATGAAGGAAGAGATCCACACGCACTTGTTTGAAAAACTCATCGTCGCGAAGAGCACGCAGTGCCGTGCATGCAAGGCCCTTGGCGATGTACATCGCGGCTGTGTGTGCTTCTTGCGTGGCAGCCGCATTTGCGAATGCGATCGTGTGGTTTCCGCCTCCGGGTTGGGTCGGAATAGCTGGTAAAGTGAGCGATGAGGTCAGAAGCAAGGAGAAGGACTGACCAAACACTGGATGAATTCCAGGCAACGCTGCATGCGAAGTGAGCAAGAGTCACTTGCAGTCAAAAGTATTACCATATGTTACGTTCCCCTAAATCCAAGTCAACAACGTGGACTCCGTCTTTTGAAGGCGACTTACAAAGTCAGTGGAACCAGTTCCTGGCGTGGTCGAGGTCTCAATCCCGTAACGTTTCGCCACGACGTCGGCGAATTCCTGGCCTACGGGAATCAGTCGAGAGCGGAAATTCAGGATGAGAGAGATCACCGAGAATAGGATTCTGCTTCAGATCAAGATGCGGATCCGCCAGCGTCAATTTGAATTCGCAGCCGGTGGCCATTGCTGCTGCTCTTTTGAGGGGGATCAGAACTCAATTCATGAATGAAAAGACGGTCAATCACTTCAAGCAATTGGTGACACGCTCCACGAAGGCTGCGAGATCCACGTCGGTGGGCGCTCGAGCGAGCCAATTCATTTTGGCATAATCAGGAATCACATTGGGCAACCAGTTGTCGTTTCCCGTAATGACACCGTGAACACGATGATCAGGTCGCATCTGCTGGCGGAGTGCGGAAATGTTGGAGTAGGCTAGAAACGCAGCATCTAGTGCGTTGACGCCGTCCCTTCGGAAGAAGTAAGCGTCTAGTGGCTGATTCCCTCCGAACAAGAATCACCAAGGAGCTGCACCAGCATGCGCGCTGAGAAGTTCAATCAACAGTCACGGAAAACTCGGCTATGGCTTACTTTTGGCCGAAATATTCGACCTGGATCACTTGCACCCCGATCGACGGACCGAGGTCGGCCGACTTGATAGGACCTCCGCTAGGATGACACATCACGCAAAGATCCATTTCCTTGTACCCGCCTCTCTCTAAGAGAATGATTTTCCCTCCTCCACCCTCTTCGGCTACAGTGCATCACCATCAGAAGCGAGACGATGCCAAAAAAGTTGCCAGTTTACCTGGGGTACCGAGCAGGATCACTTTCCCCGGTATGTTATGAGACTGCAATGCCTTTTTGAGCGCAATAGCGACTGCGCAGCCGCTTACGGCAATCAGGTTGTGGCCACATGCATGTCCTGCACAAGCGTCGAGAGGGGCAGCCGGAAACAGCAAGTAACTGACCGATGCCCGCTAGCGCGTCGTATTCTAGGCCAGCTTGAGACTTAAGAGCAGGCACAGCGCGGGTGGGGACAAACCACTGTTGACACCTATCACTCGTCCTCCGGAACCGTGCTGAAACTCGGCTCTGAATGCGGTTTTGAGTCCGAGATAGCTCCGGGTCACCGCGAAGCCCTGGGAGGCCATAAAGGAAGTCAAGTGTTCATGCGCGAATCTGGGGCTGATCAACACGCGTGCGCGCGGAAAGCGGTGGCACGAACTCTTCCTGGAATGCGACCTCAGGATGATCTGTATTGAGAAGATGTAATGCATCACCGAACATGACCGCCTTACGTACCGTGAATTTGTAGGCTGAGTTCATGCAATTGGGGTGATATTTCGTCGATGCTTTGGTCAATTATGGAGTGCGCGTCGCCTTCCAAGTCGATTCGCGAGGAGTAAGGCGGCAGTGGATCACCCTCCAGCCACCATTCTGCCGGATCAGTATATCCATGTTCGCAGCCCGTGAGGCAGCAATGCTGGAGTCCATTCAGAAACAGAAGGGTGATACCAGAAGCACACATGCCTGGTTTGCTTTAGCTTGGAAGTGCTTTTCCTCGGGCTGCGCGCGTTGTGCTGCACTGGGTCTTGACTTTGGGAGACGGATTTTGCCTAAGAGCGCGCCGAAACACCCAGCTTGTCCGTCGCTCATGGCCGATAAGAGATAGAGCGGATGCCGTGACTCATCAATGCAGCCCGGCTCTCGCAAAGTTCTCAATCTTCTGATGCTACAGTACTGGGGTAGGGGACATCCGTTCCCCGCCAACGTCACGTGCCGACTCCATATCGGGTTAATGAAGAGTAACGAGGGCTCAAATAATAAGTGTCCCCAGTGAGGCTTACCCCGTCCATGAATTTGGTCATAATGCAGCATAAAATGAATCTAGCTACTCAGAATAGAGCTCTCCAGCAGAACGTTTGGGGGCCGTTTTCTTATTCAGATTGTAACTAAATTTGCTGGAGTCTAATCAAAATTTAAACGAGAAACATTCCAAGAATGTGCTCCACCGTGATCATGTGACTCTCCGAACACGGAACACGCACCGGAGAAGCGACTCGCACACACTTCTCCAAGAGCTATAATGGTCATGCTATGTAATAAGTACGCTCAAGCACACTCTGGCGGTCGTTCTGGGACCACTTGCAACCATGGATGACACTGACTCCATCAACATTCTGTGTACTGCAGTCACAAGGTCACAAAGATTGCACATGTGCTGTTGGTCAAATATCATCTGCCAGATGGATGTTGTGATACACATCTTATGACTCCATCACATGTCATCTAGAGTTATGCGGACTCATATCAATAGACACAAACAGCCCCCTGTATTGTATATAAGGAAGGCTCTATTACCCTATAAAATAAGTCTCTTGACTACTCCCACATAGTTGTTGAAGCTTGTTTGTATTAGCGACTATCACAGTATGTAGACATGACATCATAAGTAGTATTCTTAGATTACTTTGGCTTGCTCCACAATGACCTCATACCTGACCTCATTATTGCGTCATCCATTACTCATCTATGATATCATTACTCCACTATGACATCATGATATCTGCTCCAGACTGGTATATAAACCTAGTACTATATGCTCCATATCCTCAGCTCCTGTGTCTTACACTCGCTGAGGTATGCATTCTCCCTTACGATCTAATGACCCTTACTTATGACTTGTACCACAGCTCCTGTGTCTTACACTCACTGAGACTCTGTGTCTTTAGGTACAGCTAATGTATAGCTCCTGTGTCTTTAGGTGATCACTACTGGTCATATCTCCACTGCGCGGTATTGTCTGCGACAGGTTATGGGCCCCACCTGAACCACTAGCGGCAAATCAAGAAACATCGAACTACTCCCTTTACTAAGGCGAGTATCTTTCACTCGTTCAGCCCTTCTAGAGCGCCGTCTTTGTGCGCTCGTCCCACTTGCTGGATGTCGGTCCTCGCATTTGTGCTCTCACCCTCAAGGGGTTACGCGAGCAGCGTCAGGGAGTCATTCAGTTGGCAGATGCGCTGTTAGCTATTCCGTCCATGATTGCTCACGCGCGTTTTACGTTACATCTTTTTATTGTACAGCGGACATACCCACCAGGCACTGGTCCTTTGGTCAATCCCACTCCTGAACCTTGCGCGAAGCGCCTAGGTGGTGTGGTAGCTCTCAACAGCTGCTGGAGGTCAATCCCTCCGCCAGGCAAAACAATCCTTCGGGGTTGACTCACATTCCTCACAAGGGACCCTGCAGGCTGGTGACACTACGAGGATTCATGCAATGACGCTCTGCGTGTATGCATGTCTTTAAAAGGGAGAAGATGGGCGGCCAAACCCGGTGCTTGGGACGGCCTTGGGCACGTGTCCCTTGGCCAGTGACGGACTGCGAGGGCAGTAATCACCGTCGGGTACTGCCGCCGCTGACGTATATAGTTACGTTACTTTGATACAAATATGGGCACTTACTATACCGCTTTATTTCGTTATCATTCCCCGCGCGTATATGGGCATCATGGATGGGATGGGGACGCTTGGTCGTTCTCGTTTCAGAGATTTGGCACTTGGGATTTGTTTCTTGGTCTGCAGAGAATCTGGGGCTGACTTCGTTGCTCTAGTCTTCATCTCTATCTCCCTGTCATCACCAGACGACCCTCCCGTTGGGGTTATCCTATTTCCTGTTGTCCGTTGGGCTCAGGGACCTTCTTACATTCCTCTCCAAGACGCCGATTGGAGGGATCTATACAATCTTGGAGAACACGACAACGAAGAGTTCTTCCATCACCAAGAGAATTGGACTCCAGAACTTCGATCTCTATTCGGTGATCCTCCCTATATCGAATTCCCCTCTCTTCACTACCAAACCGCCGACATTATCGAGTATCTCCCCACCATGTCGGGAATTGAGAAACTCAACAACTCCATTCTGAGTGTCTTCGATGGCACCAATTGGAATACATGGTCGGACAACTACATGAGCATCTGCATGCATCAGGGCACCTGGGGAGTGGTTAAACCCACTCATATTATGGTTAACGGCACATCTACCTCGAACCCTGGTTCTATGGAGCGTCCTGGAACGGCTGGTGACAGCCAATATCAATGGGACGTTGCCAATGAAAAGGCACTGGGTCTTGCGCGGGTTTATATCACCCAGAATCTGCGCAAGGGAATCTTTATGGACGGTCAGCGGGAGCGCACTGCGCGCGAGGTTTTTGCGAAGATGGCGACGGATTATGGCCAACCAAATGCCATCGATGCTTTCGTCGAGTACCGCCTCCTGAACACCACCACCTTCCACGGTGGTGATACCATTGAAAAGCAAATCATGGAAATGGAGACTCGTCGTCGCCAGTGTTCGGAAGGAGGAATCGAGATCCCCGACTACCTCTTCGCAACTCTAATGCTCGCCGCTTTGCCCGCTTCCAGCAGAGGTTTCGTCACCTCTTACCTGGCCAATCGTCCTATCGCTTCTCTGAACCTAGTCGATGTCAAGAACAGCGTCATAGGGAATATCAAGATCAAGAACCTCGACACGACGTCGAACTCGAAGATTTCCACCATTCCGTCCCTTGCCACCCGCTGCACTCATTGCAACAAGTCCGGTCACGTTGCGGCATCCTGCTACAAGAAGTATCCCAACCTCAAGCCGACTGGTCAATCTTCTGACAAAGGCAAGGGGAAGCAGGATGAGGGGAAGAAGAAAAAGAAGAAGGAAAAGAAGAGCGGTGATGGTACTAGCGCTGTAAAAGAAGTTGTAGCCGCTCCCGCGGTTGCAGCTGCCTCCAATGGAATGCACATTTCGTCCTATCTCATGAGTGACTCCCTCAAACACATCGATGATGGAATTTTTGTTGAAGAAATGGGAGACGACTCCAAAGTTCGTTTTCTATGGGACTCGGGTTGTACGCATCATATGACAAACACCCGATCCGATCTTCACAACATCAGACCTATCGACACCTATGTAATCGTTGGGTCGGGAGCTCGCTTCAAGAATGAAGCCGTTGGAGATATTGTGTTGCGGGGTCATACTAGTAGTGGCATGGACTACACCTTCACGCTGAAGGATGTCATCTACAACCCGCACATAAGAGGGCGTTACCTTTCTGGGTATGCGCTCGATCAGGCTGGTTACTACACCGTGGTTGGTGACAACAAGGCAATCCTAGTCACCAAGGATTGGCTCAACAAGGAAAAAGCGCATGGGGATGTCTTGATGACCTTTAAAGCAAGCAATCGCTGCTACTGGTACTACCCCGAGGAGCTCGTGGCACCATCTGTGTCTGCATCTCACGAGTCTACCGCGCTCGCTTCCCTGGAAACTACCGATCGTGAATTGTGGCATAAGCGTTTTGGTCATGCGGCTCGGAGGACCCTTACTCACTTGCCGACACAAGTTGAAGGTGTTCCCCCCTTGCGACGCAATAAAGACCAGCGCGGCATGTGCGATGGATGTATGCTTGGAAAACAGCACAAGCATCCGTACCCTGCATCAGAGAAACGTGCTAGCAAACCCCTCGAACTTATCCACACTGATTTGATGGGCCCCTGGCCTACTCAGTCGTTGGAAGGTTCACGCTACACAATTTCGTTCTACGACGATTTCTCGAGCTTTGGCATGATGGTGTTCATTAAATCAAAGGACCAAGCCTCTACCGCGATTAAAAACTTTGTTGCCCTTACAGAGCGTCAGCTTGGCACAAAAGTACTGGCCTTCCGGTCAGATCGTGGAGGCGAATATATGTCCGATGAACTCACAGCCTGGCTCAATGCACGTGGTATTATGCACCCTAAGTCCGCGCCACGCAAACCACAGCAAAATGGGAGGTCTGAACGTTGGAATCGCACAGCCTACGAGAAAGCGGAATGCATGCGCCTCGATGCCGGCCTATCCAAAGGCTTCTGGCAATGTGCTATGGATGCATCTGTCCACGTTCATAATAGACAACCTATGGCACGATTGGGATGGCGAACACCTGCGGAACTGTGGCTTGGAAAGAAGCCAGACGTCTCTTATTTCCGTGTGTTTGGATGCAAGGCGTCTCTCTATGTGGATGTTGAAAAACGCCCGAAAGGGTTGGAGCATGGACGCCCCGACCACATCTTCGTTGGATACGAACGAGAGACAAAAGCTTGGAAAGTGTGGGATCCGAATCAACGCAAGATACGAATCTCTTCAAACGTCAAGTTCGATGAGCGAGTATTCCCTGCCAAGTCCAAGCTAGTCACCGGCAATGTGTCCTCTGGACCGGAGCCGTTCACACCATTCGAGGAAACCTTCCCTGACCTTATCAATAATCCTGCGCCTGCAACACCTTATGCAAGCATACCACCTCCTGCTCTCCCACCGCCACCGGCACCCCTCGCGCAACAAGGTCCTGTCACGGGATCGCGAGAAGTACCCCTAATACCTGGCCCGATAGACGATTGCCCGATTGCCCATCGCCACCCTCGTCGGAATAAGCCCCGCATTATGCCAGATGGAACTACGTATCAGAGGCCTAGCAGCATTGAGTCCATGTTATCAGCT